TCAGAATTTTATGAAATTTGGAATAAATGTTATAATTGGCTAGAACAGAGAAAGAAAAAGACATAATTATTGATGTACATAAAATGTAAATAAGATGTAAAGAATATTTAAAATGTAAAGCACTGTTCTGTTAGAAGAAAAGATTTATGTTTATGTAGTTTTTGGTGTATGGTGTATGGTGAAAAATAAAAAAAAAATTTAAAAAAAAGTTACATTCCTCTTACATTCCAAGTTTCAATCTTCTGTATATCGTAGTCATAAGCAATTGTTCCCACGGATATGCCCTCCATGCCCATCATCGTTTTAGTCAATCAAAACTTTTCAATAATGCTTTTAGTCAGACAGAGAAGATGTAGACTAGATTTACCAGCCTTAGTCACACCAATGTGATGTGCATCCTTTGACTGGTTCAGCATAAGCATAGCTGAAGCTCAGTTTTACTCACAAATGCTAATGCTATTCTATGTAAGCCAGAATCTCTAATCTAGAAAACTATCTGACAGACCAATATTCTATTAATTGCCCATATCTCACCTACTGGAGAATATTTTCAATCCACTCAGAATATGAGAGGTAATGCTGAAATACCACAGAAGCTTCTCCCCTTGCACACACACCCCCATTGGGTAATTGAGTTACAGTGGCAGGACCTCTGCCTCAGAGTAGAGGGATGTCAAAGGGGAGGGGGAAGGATCGCATCCGAGGTCTCTGACAGGGATAATTTATTCAAGTGATGACAGGCATGGGTCATCTAGATAGGAGCCAAAGAGCAGGCCATTGCAGGGGAAGATGCTACCGATATTTAAAACTAGTGGCATGTTCTGGCCTTCTGAGCTCACATCCAGACCTTGGACAGCAGTCCCTCAGAGGCCTGGGTCTTTGGTTGCTGCTAATGAATGCCAGATTGGTCAATAATCTCTTCCCCTTATTTGTGATCGCATTAGAGAGGAGCAAGCCAACCTGACATGCATTACCGAGACCTGGCTGACACCAGAAGGGGGTCTTTCCCTCTCAGAAACGTGTCCAGCTGGGTTTAGTGTTTGGCCCCACCAAAGCTGTAGGGCAGGGGTGGGGAACTGTGGCCCTTTTATGACGTGTGGACTTCCTGGTTGGCTCAGGAATTCTGGGAGTTGAAGTCCACAAGTCACAAAGGGGCCATTGTTCCCCACCTCTGCTGTAGGGCAAGGGAGGGGGAGTGGCAGTTGCCATTTGCCATTTGAGAATCTCTTCCGGCCTACAGGGGTCATGCTCCCCAAGTTTCTTGATGTGAGACCATGTTTTGAAACTGGCCTTGTGGGATCGGTTGGGATTGTTGCTGCTGAATCAGCCTCCCTGCTGAGTAGCAATCTCCCTGCCTGGGTTGCTGGAGGCCATCTCAGGGTTGGCAGTGGAGTTCCTCAGACTTGTAGTCCTGGGAGACTTCAATCTGCCATCCCTGAGTTTGGCCTAGAAGCAGCTCAGGAGTTCATGGCCACCAGAATAGATAGGGGCATATCCCAGGTCATCCATGGCCCAACTTGAGACAGTGGTCACCCTCTGGTTATGATCTTGTCAGAGAAATGTCAATATGTCTGCCAATATCCCCTTTGTCTTGGTCAGGTCATGCCCAGGTGGCTTTGAGATTCTCTCATGCCGGCCCCCTCCATAGGGAGGCTGGACCTATTTGAATGGCTCACCCACAGAGCCTGATGAGGGAGCTGGGATAGAACCTGGCAACACTGCTGCATACTCCTACAGTGGCTTTGGCCTGGAATCAGAGAGCAACTGAAGTCCTGGACAGGATCGTGTCTATGGGCCCCCTCATGGCCCTTTGGCCCCAATACTTCCCATGGTTCACAGAGGAGCTGAGGATGCTGAAAAGGGCCAAGAGATGGCTAGAGCATCACTGGCGGAAAACAAAGAATAAATCCAACTGAACACAGGTTAAAGCCATGATTAAGGCCTACCTCGTAGCGGTAAGAGAGACAAAATGTCAGTATTTCTCCACACTTATTGCATCTCCAGGGTGTCGCCCAACAGCCCTGTTCAAGGTCACCCAGTCCCTCCTCAAGAAAGAGGGCTCAGACGATCATCTTGTGCAACACCTGATAGATTAAATTACTGAGATTCGCTCTTGGTTGGAGCCCAAGAGTGGTACAATTCTGTTAGAGATGCCCAGGAATTGGACTAACTCTATTTAACCTGGAAGCAGTTTGATCCTGTTGGACCTGAGGAAATGGGCAGGATCCTTGGGGCTGTCAACCCAACTACTTGCTTATTAGATCCCTGTCCCTCCTGGTTATTGAAAACTTCCAGGACTGTGACTTCTGGGTGGGTGGCAAGAGAGGTTTCCTGTGTAGGGAGGGTGGTGGAAAAAGTGGTTGCACTGCAGCTCCAGAGGACCTGGATGAAACAGATTATCTGGACCTGTAAAGCTCTTTATGGCATGGATCCAGGATATCTGCAGAACTGTCTTTCCCCAATGGGTTTGACTCATCCCATTCGTGCTGGCAGAAGGGGCATACTGCCAATCCCATCAGCCAAAGAATTTTGGCTGGTGGGATCCAGGAGAAGAGCCTTTTCTGCCATGAATCCTGGCCTTTGGAATATCTTGCTGCAAGAGGTAAGATCCTTCCGCTTTTTTTAATCTTCAGGAAACGCCTTAAAATGCCGGCTGTCATGGGGTCCCGAAGAAGCTGCTGGCTGGAGGTGGTTGATGCACTAACAGAGAAAGTATCCCCACCTCTCTGTTCCAGACCTGTGTTTTTTAGTTTGTGTTAATTTTTTGTAATTTTAATCTGTTTTTATATTTATAATTGTTTGAATATTTATAAATTTTATCTCACTGTAAGCCGCTCAGAGCCACCTCAGACCACAAGATGGGTAGCAAATAAATTTAATAATAAATAAAATAAATAAATAAATATTAAACTTGTATACAGAAGATGGTTACAAAATCTAAATACTACTTCTATTTTTTAAAAAAAATCAAATCTCTCTAGATTTCTCTACAAATAAAAAAGCAGCATTTACACTTTGTACCCAGTCTTTTTATTTTACATACAGCTCCGTAGTCCAGATTTTATGAGTATTTCATCTTGTAAACATAGGGTTAACATCTCATTTTGCAAGAATCCATCCGCAATATTAATCTAGGCCAGAAAGGCAGTATGTTCAGTATCTTTTTGTTGTGTCTTGTCATCATGGAGAGTTTTGCAGCCCACATCTCATAGCTCTGCAAAACAAGGCATTTTAAGTACTGTTCAAGGAGCTTCCATTTTACTTTTGCTCTTTGCTAGCTTCTGCTATTAAGGTGATCTCAGTTTTTGCATGTTATGTCCACACAGCTGGCATCTGACAGGCCATGCTGAATCTCTCAACAATAAATGCAAACCACATTTCAAGCCTATGCAACACAGAGATTTATTATGAGTTGGTTTTCAGCCATTTCACCCCTAGCTATCCCGGTCTTCATTTGGGCCATTCTAATAGCACTTCCTATGGACAACGAACGGTCCATGCTCATGGTATTGTTCCTTTCTGATCCAGCATGGTTGAAAATTTTTCAGGGAAGCAAGTATGGAACCTCCAGTCCAGACAGAATAGTGCCTCAGTGGAACAGCCATGACTTTGACTTTCGTATTTGTCTGCATGTTGGACATTACATCATGAGTAAATCTCCTTTCAAATCCTTCAAAAAGTGATGACCCTCCGCATAATATTATGTTTTCATACATTTCCTTCCTGGATTGTTCAGGGACCTTCCTTAAGCTTTTTTGGGCCATGTCATGGATTCCTACAAGTGTAAGTCCAGGCATCTGAGGAGGGCTGAACAACATTTCTGGACACTGAAATCTCTCCTTTCCTAAAGTGATTACTTGGCCATCTGGTAACTGGTAGTCCACCATGTATTCTCTCTTTGGACGATTCCACTCAGTCTCAAAATCAAGTGCAACATAACAGCATTTTTGTTTGATATCATCAATAACATTCAACATTCTTTCATCAAAGTAATTCCCCATGTCTTTGAGGAGATCCATCAAAAAAGATGTCATATTGGCTCCAGCAATGTCCATTCTTTCTATAGCATGTGGCAAATTGTATCCTTGATAGACTGGTACAGCGTGTGTCATAGCATAGCCTGTATCTACCACCAACCCACTAATTTTTCCATGAGCATACACTGATAGTACAGACTGATATGCCACATACATTCCAGGAGAATTGAGAGACTCAAAGACAACCTCCACCAATTTTTCCCGGTTTGTAGTTGGACAGAGAGGAGGATCAGACATTAAAAGAGCATGGTCTTCTGGAGCAACTTTGAGGTCATGGTAGAACAGGTGCCTCCATAGTGTTTCAGCTGCTTCCCAGTCTATAATTATGCCATGCCTTACTGGAAAAATAATATCGCTATCAGGTTCCAATCGAGCTTGCTCTCCGATGAATGTATCTTGTCTATCTCTTCTAGTCCTCATAGATTTTTCTGTAGGGTGTCCAACTAATGTCCCAATGACTGCCTGGGGGGTCTGCTGACCTGCAAATCCAGCTTTACATGTCCCTGTACCAGTATCTATGACAATAGCTCCTGTCTTGACAACTGAACGCCCTCTTTCTGGAGTACTTGACCTTCTCATGGTAACCCCTCGTTCTCTGGAAGGTGCTCGAGATCCGGATGGCTGGTCTAATGCATATCCTGTGGATGGGGTCCTTTTTCTTGAGTATCCTGGGCTCACTGGCCTTGATCCTGGGCTCTTTGATCGTAGAGATCCAGGACTTCTTGGATAAGAAGGCCCTGGACTGCCTGTCCTATGACTTCTGGGTAACATAGTAAATGTGTCTCAAGATACCTTCTCCAAGAACAAATCACGTTATGTAATACTTAAATGTCAAGGGCCTTTGCTTTGGCTAACCATGAATTCTTATCAATATCTCTGGTGATCTTGCTTCAGATAGGCAAATAGCACTGCCCAATGATGATCCCTTTCCTCCAACCATTGCTCGGGGGAAAGTGCGTCAGCTCATCCTGCCACCGTCCTGTCCATCTGGAAGCTTTGAAATGTTCCACAAGGAACAATGGCCAGAAGGAAAGAATCTTAGAATCTTAAGAACTCATAGAATGCCATGAGTCATCCAGATCAACTTTCCACGAGGGATATAAATACATTCATTTAAAATTGTCCCCAGGACCTCATTGATATCCACAAAAAAGGAAAAAATATTTAACTGAATCATGGCAACTATATTAACTGTTCACAAAAGACAGCTCACTTTTTACTAGCATTTTCCCCGTAAGAATCAAAAGCTAAGGAATATTATGATGACTGAATTTTCTGCTATGGCAGGATCATGCATCAGCTTTCAGTCATTTATTTCATTTTAAGAAAATAAGACGAATCCTACCTGTTCAGGCTAATAACCCACCCAGTTCAGCATTCTGCATCACACAATGGTCAGCTAGATACATTGAATAATAATAATAATAATAATAATAATAATAATAATAATAATAATAATAATAATAATAATAATAATAATAATAATAATAATAATAATAATAATAATAATAATAATAATAATAAAGTTGGAAGGGACCTTGGAGGTCATCTAGTCCAACCCCCTGCTCAGGCAGGAAACCCTATACCATTTCAGACAAATGGCTGTCCAGTCTCTTCTTAAAAACTTCCAGTGTTGGGGCATTCACCGCTTCTGGAGGCAGGTTGTTCCACTGGTTAATTGTTCTAACTGTCAGGAAGTTTCTCCTTAGTTCTGGGTTGCTTCTCTCCTTGATTAGTTTCCAGTTTGAAGAAGCTCAGAAGCATAGAAGGAAGACTTCCATGGTTGTTTTCCTGCAGTTGGTATTTAAATGATATTCTTTATGACTGAGGAGATATTTAATCATGAAATCTAGGACCTACTGGTAATTTCATCTACCACACATCTGTCCAGTTCTTGTTTAAAGCCATCACTACATGCAATAGTAATGAATTCAGCATCTGAATTATGCATTGCCATGTTCTCTATTTCATCAATAGAGCATAATATCTGGGGCAAAGATCAAAAAGAGATTTGTTAATCCAATCGGTTAACTTTAGCCTCAAACAGATCTGATCATTCATAAAGGACTCAAATGTCTATATACCAATGCACAGAGTATGAACAGTAAACAGGGTGAACTAGAAATTCAGATCAATGAGGGCAGATATGATATTGTTGCCATTACAGAAACATGGTGGGATGAAACCCACACATGGAACACACAGCTAGAGGAATTTAAATTATTTAAAAGAAACAGATCAAATAAAAGAGGAGGTGGAGTTGCTCTCTATATAAGAAATAACTACATCTCCACAGAAATAGAGCACAACAATGAGAAAACTGTCTTGAATGCATTTGGGTCAATATAAAAGGGAGAAAAAATGACATTGCCATAGGTGTATACTATAGGCCACCCAACCAAACAGAGGAAATAGATGAACTTTTTGCTAGTCAGCTAACTAAGGTATGTAGGAAGCACATCACCATAGTAATGGGGGACTTTAATTACCCGGACATCAACTGGGAGACAAACTCTGCACCAAGTGGAAGATCAAACAGATTCCTGACAAACCTAGCAGACAACTTTGTCTCCCAAAAAGTAGAGAAGGGAACTAGGGGATTAGTCATTTTGGATCTAATTCTCACTAACAGAGATGAAATGATAGAAGGTGTTGAAGCCACAGGAACCCTGGGAGGTAGTGATCATGCAATATTGGAATTCAACATTATGGAAGCACAAGCAATAGAACATAGTCAAACTAGAGTCTTGGACTTCAAGAGAGCTAATTTCAATAAACTTAGAGAGGGCTTGGGAAAGATTCCATGGATGAGAATCCTCCAGGGGAAAACAACGCAAGAAGCTTGAGAAATTTTGAAAATCAAGATAATAGAAGCCCAGTCTACCTCAATACCAACAAAGAGGAAAAACAACAGCTCTCAAAAGAAACTAGCATGGTTGCATAAAGAACTCTCTGACAAATTGAAAGATAAAAAGGACAAGTATAGAAAGTGGAAAGAGGGGCACATAACTAAATCAGAATATCAACAAATAGCCCGAGCCTGCAAAGATGAAGTGAGGAAAGCCAAGGCTCAAAATGAACTAAGGCTTGCGATCAAAGTCAAAAATAACAAAAAAAGCTTCTTTCAACATGTAAAAAACAAGAAAAAAGTGAAGGAAACGATTGGTCCATTAGTGGGGGAAAGTGGTAAGAAGGTGACTAGCAATAGGGAGAAAGCAGAACTATTTAACTCATTTTTTGCATCTGTCTTTACACAAAGGGAAAAAACAGACCAATCTATCAAAAATAGTGCCATAAAAAACAGTATAGAAACACAAGTTAAGATAGGCAAGAAAATGATAAGTGAGCACCTGTCCAGCCTAGACGAGTTCAAATCACCAGGACCAGATGGATTATACCCCAAGGTTCTCAAGGAACTGGCAGATGTGATCTCAGAACACTGAACTATATTTTTCAAAGATCTTGGAGCACTGGGGAACTACCAGAGGACTGGAAAAGAGCTGATGTAGTTCCCATCTTCAAAAAAGGAAAAAAAATGGATCCAAGAAATTACAGACCTATCAGCCTGACCTCAATACCTGGGAAGATTCTGGAAAAGATAATCAAACAACGAATCAGCAAACACCTAGAGGCAAACAAAGTCATTACTAAAAGCCAACATGGGTTTGTCAAAAACAGATCATGCCAGACAAACCTTATTGCATTCTTTGTCCAAGTGACAAAATTAGTGGATCAGAGGAATGCTGTGGATATAATTTACTTGGACTTCAGTAAGGCATTTGATAAAGTAGATCACAACCTACTACTCGATAAGATAGAAAAATGTGGGTTAGACAGCATCACCGCCAGATGGATTCGTAGCTGGCTGACCGGCCGTACTCAGCATGTGGTCCTCAATGGAACCGCATCTACATGGAGAGAAGTGTGTAGTGGGGTGCCCCAGGGCTCTGTTCTAGGCCCAGTGCTCTTCAACATCTTCATCAATGATTTGGACGAGGGGATAGATGGGGAACTCATCAAATTTGCGGATGACACCAAGCTGGCAGGAATAGCCAACACTCCAGAAGACAAGCTTAAGATACAGGAGGACCTGGACAGACTTGAACACTGGGCACTATCTAACAAAATAAAATTCAATGGTGAAAAAAGTAAGGTTCTACATTTAGGCAAGAAAAACCAAATGTACAGGTATAGTATAGGGGGTATCTTGCTCAATAGTAGTAACTGTGAGAGGACTCTTAGTGGACAATTACTTAAATATGAGCCAGCAGTGTGCTGCAGCTGCCAAAAAAGCCAACACAGTGCTGGGCTGCATTAACAGAGGGATAGAATCAAGATCACGTGAAGTATTAATACCACTTTACAATGCCTTAGTAAGGCCACACTTGGAATACTGCATCCAGTTTTGGTCACCATGATATAAAAAAGATGCCGAGACTCTAGAAAGAGTACAGAGAAGAGCAACAAAGATGATTAGGGGACTGGAGGCTAAAACATATAAGGAACAGTTGCTGGAATTGGGTATTTCTAGTTTAATGAAGAGAAGGACAAGGGAGGACATGATAGCAGCCTTCCAATATCTCAGGGGCTGCCACAAAGAAGAGGGAGTCAAGCTATTCTCCAAGGCGCCTGAAGGCAGGACGAGAAGCAACAGATGGAAACTGATCAAGGAAAGAAGCAACTTAGAACTAAGGAGAAACTTCCTGATAGTTAGAACAATTAATCAATGGAACAACTTACCTCCAGAAGCGGTGAATGCTCCAACACTGGAAGTTTTTAAGAAGAGACTGGACAGCCATTTGTCCGAAATGGTATAGGGTTTCCTGCGTGAGCAGGGGGTTGGACTCGATGACCTCCAAGGTCCCTTCCAACTTTATTATTATTATTATTATTATTATTATTATTATTATTATTATTATTATTATTATTATTATTATTATTGTTGTTGTTGTTGTTGTTGTTGTTGTTGTTGTTGTTGTTGTTGTTGTTATGTTAATGTATCTCCATTCAGTCAATGTACATAGGACTATCCCAACTCAGTCTACTAACCTGTTTTGCCTATCTAGTCCAAGAGATGGAGAGAAAGAATGGTTAATAAAATCAAGTCTCATTGCCAAGACCTGACAGCACTGAACATACCTAATCCTGTTTAGCTGCAGTGGCTAAGCCATGCCCACCACTAATCTTTGGATGAAGAGGCCAATGAGACCTGGCACTTCCTTTAAAAAAAGGGACTCTGTATTTCTCAAATAGGAAGTTCTGACCTACAGCATTTACTATGCTGCTGGAATCACCCTTAAGGAGATCTGTTTGGCATAGCAGGTAATTGCATTCTGAGCGGTATGAAACAAGGTCATTGTGAGGTCCTTTCTTTTACAGGAGCTAAAAGCTAAAGCTGTGTTTCTCAACCTTAGTAACTTTGAAATGTCTGGACTTCAACTACAGAATTCCCAGCCAGCATTCTGTGAGTTAACACCCAGACCTCTTAAAGTTGCCAATGTTGTAAAATACTCATTTAAAATCTAATATAAGACAGTGAGAAACAGCTCTGTTGGCCCATGATTTTCTACATTATACAAGGCCATCAGAAGAGTATCTGGTGAAAGGGTATGAAGCAAGGTCAAAACTTTCAAATGGTGTATGCAGTGTCATGACTGAAGACTTGTACCTAGAAAAAAACTGGGTCTATGATTACAACATTGCCTCTGAAATCTTGCATTATTGAACAGACAGCACTACTTAACCTGAAAGAAGACACCAGCATAATAATCCTACCAGCAGACAAGGACAACGCCACGGTGGTTATGAACACATCTGACTACCAAACCAAATTAACCAACCTACTCCAAGACTCCACATACAAACCCCTAAACACAGATCTCACCACCTATCTGGAAAAAACCACTAGATCCAAAATAAAAGCCTCCCCCATCAGCGAAGAGATTCAGCAAAGAATCATTCCCAGAGAGAAAGCATCCAGATGCCCTAAGCTCTATGGTCTCCCCAAGATACACAAAGAAGGAACCCCACTTAGACTCATAGTCAGCTCCATAGGCTCACCTCTACAAAACCTAGCCAAATTTCTCGCCAAACAACTACAACCTTATGCAGAATCCATCACCTCACACGTAAAACACTCATTCCAGTTCATAGAGATCATAAAGAAACAAAACTTACAGCCCAGTGACCTACTTGTGAGCTTGGATGTCATATCCCTCTTCACCCAAGTGCCAATCAAAGAAGCCTTGACAGCTATCCAAAACAAATATAACCCCCCAAGCACATCCTAGATCTGACCAACCACTGCCTATCCAACACATACTTCATCTATAACGGACAAAAATACAAACAAATAGAAGGAGCACCCATGGGATCACCCCTCTCACCTGTCATTGCAAACCT